AGAATTTTCTAACAAATCATTAAAACGTATTATAATATTGTTCAGTATCACTAACAACCTCTAACCATTTGAACCCAAAACTGCAGAAAATGAAATCTGCAACATCCCAGAATGCATTGTCTGTGAAGCTCGGGATTGTATACAGTATTACTATCCCATAAGAGAATTTTCCAGTTTTATCCTTTAGAACTAGTTGTATCTCTAGTTTGGACATATTTAGAGATAACATTATAAAAGATGAACCCAGAATGGAGTGATCTGATTTGTTCACTTTTTCTTTTTTGTTTTTTTTTTATATCTATGAAATAAGGTCAGGTACCCCAGCTTTAACTCCATTTAATTCCATATTGGTGTGTTTCAAATCCCGTGTCTAACAGAGCAGCCGTCTTGCGTGACATGATCGTTCAGAAGTGACTGTGATAAAGAGTTATGAGAGTTGGCAAAGCTGTGATTCTCGCTGCCAAAGTGAAACGCTCTCTGTTCCCAGGTGTTTCCAAACGCTTCCTGGCAGAAGTCTACTTGGTATTGATAAAATATCATTTGCACGAAGACGGTATAAATCATTCATTAAAGTTCACACAATGACTGTAAATGTGTGTTGTCTGTTGGTTACTCAGCAACCGCGGGAAAATTATGAATGCTTCATATGTGCTACATGAAAGTACTCGGGTAAATCTTTTTATGTGGAACAATTTTAGAAATAAATTGAGCAAATTGAAGATACAGTGAATCTGATTTATTGTTGGCGTCTTTTGTTATATTCAAACAATAACAAAGGTTTTACAGTTTATTGGGCTCATGGCATTCTTCTTTCGCTCCATACTCAGTGGTGATAAATGACAACTGTAGCCGTAGCTGCCCTGGGGCACACATAGAGAAGCGAGGCCACCAGTACGTGCTATCGGCCCCTCCGAACATCACCAACTATTCACGCACACACCAGACTCATTCAAAGCAATGTGGTCAAGTGTCTTGCCTAAGGATACGACGGTGTGTTGCCATAGTTACCAGCACCCGCCCTTCAAAGATTGAACTACTCACATTTCAAAAATAATAAGACCGTTTCTTAAATATAATGACATAAATACACTACATAAAAACAACAACTGTGAACAGAAAAAAATCACAAAGTTATGAAGACTAAAAGCCGTCAATTTGACCATTAGTTCCTCTGTGTTTGTTGTTGATTTTGTGCTCCACAAAAACACATTGAGTAAGAATTTGAATTGAAAAGTTAATATACTCTTTTAAACCATTATCCTCTGAGCTGGTTTTGAGTTGACTGCATTTACCCTCTGGTCCTCAGGGGCTCACGGCGGCTCCCTCACCCCACAGGAAGCGCTTTGTTCTGGGGTTGACAGCCGGCTCAGAAACATGAAAAGATCCGTCCAGACTTCTGCGACGTCTGACTGACAGTTCACAAGTACCGGCACAATGCGCTGCCTTTGCCTTTCCTCACATCCTAAAGCTTTTTCATCTCCAAGCACAGAGTGGGAATGGACAATGTCAGGGTTTTAGAGCAGGGTGTTCAAACTTTTTCATTATTCGCTGCATTAATAATAACAATAGTAATCATAAAAATGTATTGGTTTTACTCGTTCTAGGAAATGTGGGTGAGGTGTCTTGCCTAAGGATACAACAACAGTTTGGCACTTTACAGCCGCAGCCGCCCCACTGTGGCACCTAGTGTTCCCAGAGGTCTCCCATCACGGTACTAACCAGGCCCTGCCCTTGAATTTAGTTGAATATCTGTTTGCAGCCGGTGATGATCAAAAAAAAAAAAAAAAAAAAAAAACCTAAATCAACCCCTCCCTCTGGTGGTAGCATAGAGAAGTACAGGCAACTACATTTTTTACCCTTTATACTTGTTTCATTATGTTTTCTACTTATTTATTCTTAGACTAATATATTATTATTATCTACTTAGATATTATTTAAGTAAATAGTCTATGGTATGGGGCCAACAATAATCCATCATACATCTTCTTTAACGTACAAGAATATTCGAAGACATACAACGCTTCCAATTGGCTACGTTCTAAGACACGTTCAATGATTTGTTTGGAGTGAATATTATAATTTTGTGTTGTTCAGATATTGTGAACATGGGATTTTTAGCAGAATTAGCAGTGACCAAAACACAGCTAAAGGGTTTTCAAGTCAAGAACATACTCATAACAATGACAAGTTGAAACAAAACTGGCAGATTCATTAAAATGCATTTGTTGCATATTTGCATTTCGTTCTGCAGTAATAACAGCGCTTACAGTCATAAAACGTCTCTTCTGACAGACACAAATTAGCAGCGAGATGTTATCACTTCTTTGCAGACAATAGCACAATACGTCTTCTTTAAAACTAACTTTAAAACAACGATACGGTATTCTATTCAGTTTTTTGGTCTATTAGTTCCATCAGTAGTTTTCACGCATGTACTTGTGGCTCACCCTCACTGAGCCAATTAGCTCTCAGGCAAAAAGTATAAAAAAGTGACAATTTTTCATTATTTTAGTCTTCCACTACATGTCTGATTGATATTTGGCTCAGTTGTGGTTGAATTCAAACCTATTAGAAAATAAATACAGTTGACATGATACAAAAATATATATAAACTTTATACATTTGCCCCCCCCCACCCCTGGTCTAAAGTATTGATTCAAATATTTTCTCATGAGATGAAGACGGCATGATAATTTCAGTAAAGATCAATGTATAATTTCTGAATTTTAAAAGTTACATACCCCAGCTTTACTGTTAGTCCATACAAAGTTGCGTGACCGGCCTTGGACTCATCTAGCTGTTTACACATATGATTTTACAAATTGTTTTATCAGACTGGGACCTTGAAGCACATATGTGGCCTTCATCCGCTCTCCCTCCACCTACACACACACACACACAGCTGAGAACCTGATAGGGAACAGTCTGCGTTTGGCCCATGTGACTGCAGCTGTCCCACATCTGCCGTGTGCTGTGCTCCAGCGCTGATAAACAGGTGTCTCTTTGAAACTGGAGACGTACGAGAGTGTGTGTTATTCCACGTATAACACGCTGGATTAGACGCACAAACGTCACAGTAACAGGTGCTTAAGCCGGTGTTCTGCTCTGTGGAGAAATGTGCAGAGGTGGAGGACAGGAACTAGCGGAACTGAAATCTGATTTTATTTGTAAATGTACTTTCCCCCGGACATTCAAGTTCAAAACCCAAGGCATTTCCAAACATAATTTTGTCTCAAGTACACATTTTTTAGAGACTTTCCTTCACTGATAAAAACCGGCGTATGATGGACAAGACTGTGTCATGATGGCAAATGGAAATAAGCCTGAAAATGAGAGTTAGTAAAACAACACAAAATCCAGAGAAAACAGCACAAAAAGTAGCCAGCCAGACTGACGACAAGAACTAAAACAGACATGGAATAACAGTGACAGTGACAAAACAGGAAGTGAAGGAAGATACATAATGACTGATGAGACAGAGGTGATGCACATGAGGGCAATCACAAACAGGAAGTACTGTAGAACTAAGGAAGACACAGTGGTAAAGTAACAAAATAAAACTGGAAATAAACCTAAACCATGACAGACTGGCTGCTGTGTTACAGGTTGTGGTGTTAGTGATTATTATTCGTCCCACATGGGGGAAATTTCAGTGTTGCATCACTATTTACCAAACAGTTATCATCATTTATGGACATCGGTCATCTGCCCCTCATAGACCCATGGCTGTATGTGTTTTTATTTTAGCATTTCTTGTGTTGAACTGTTGATTTTCTGTTTATTGTTAGCAAATTCAGCGGTTTTGTAATGTCCTCTGAGATTACTACTGTTGCGATTTAGGGCTACACAAGAATACATTGAATTGAATTGAAGTAGGAATGAGGAGCACACAAGATAATATAAAGTATAGCACAACTCTCTCTCAAAGAAAATCTCTCTCTTTAATAAAGGAAAAAATACTATACACCCTACTACAAAGCAAATATTTCTTTGCAGTAGGGTGTATATTATTTTTTCCTTAGTCTCTGGAATAAAAGAGACTAAGTAAAGTAAAGTGACAGTGGACCCATATTGCACATTCTGACATTATTGCACATTATTGCACAGATAAATGCCATGTGAGGTCAGGTCAGCAGTGCTCATCAGTCTTCCAGTCTTTACTTTTGTTGTACGGCTTGTACAGGGGCAGAATGATTCAGTCCCAGGGGCTCAAAGATTGTTGGTTTCCAATCTATTAATTTAAACAAGTTGGGACAAGTTTGTGTGGTGATAAAAACATGCGCGCACACACACACACACACACACACACACACACACACACACACACACACACACACACACACACACACACACACACACACACACACACACACACACACACACACACACACACACACACACACACACACACACACACACACACACACACATCTTCCTCTACTTCAGGGGTTTCCTTATTGTTGCAATGGGAACCTCCAAAGTATGTGTCTCGCCTGCACTACAAGACTTGTCTTGCAGTGCAGGCCACTCAAATATGGCAAAATGAATTCTAATTTGAGTGCATTTTGACTATGGGACAAGCAAAATAATCTTGCTTTACAAAAATACAAGAATTGTATTGGAATGAGAATATAAAGCAACGGTTCACATGAGGTCCCATATTGCACATTCTGACAATATTGCACATTATTGTACATGTGAGGTGACATTGGTAAAGATCGTTTTAATACAGTCAGATGTGATGTAATCAAATAAGGCAATTATTACTTCATATTTTGCCATTGTTTTGCAGTGTAGAGATATGTCTTGCTTCAAACATATTTCTACAGTGTAGTTCTGTGTCTTTCTGTGTTCAAATTGTGATACGCAGACACTAAACATCAAACTGCTGCGGATTTTTGTCTTTCTTTTCTTCTCAATACTGCCGTCTTGATACATGTCCCAGAACAGGTTGATATAAGTCTGGTTGTGTTTCATTCACAGGTAATATCTTGGACAGTATGCTCCTACAGCCGTCCAATCAGGAGTCTGTGGAGAGGGGGCGGGACCGAAGCGGCACGACTCCGGCCTCAGCCAATGAGGGACTGTTGTGGTGTTATTGCAACCATCACTGTCCTGACGACGCAGTCAACAACACCTGCTGGTCAGTTTACTGCCGTTATTATGAGTCATTTCCCAGAGTTTAAAGGGCCCATATCACGGTTTTTGACTTTTCTCTGCATTAAACATGATTACAATGCTATTTGGCCTTCATACACAAGCCCACAGTAGTTTATTAATTGATTCTGTCAATCTTTTGTAAGAGAGCAATCTGTCTCCTTCCCCAGCGTGAGGCACAGAAACGCTCGGGTCCACTTCAGTGACAAAAACCACACTGATGACGCGCATGACGCGCATGACCCCGTTTGCTTTGTATTTAAAATAGTTGTTAAATACTTTTGTCAAAACGGGGTAAAGAATACACAATTAGTATGCTGTTTTTTGTCAAAAATAATAAAAATAAAAATAAATTAAAAGCCGGCGGGAGGTGATTGACGGATCAAAACAGCGAATCAGAGCGCATAGGCTCCGGCTCCCGAGTCCAGCGTCTGTGGTCTGGTCTCGCGGACACCACATAGAGCTGCTGTTGCTTATGCTTTTGTCAGCAACTAAAAGTGTTAGGATCACGTCAACTTGAATGAAGTGTGTTATGGGTGTAAATATGTGACACACTATTTGGCCCTAAGAGGAAGAAAGCGCCTCGACTTTTTTCATCTGTTCATCTCATGGATCTATTATAAACCGGTTCATCTGCAACACTTCACTGAGACTGTTCCAGAACTACAGGGACAATGGAACTGGACTTACTCAAAAGCTGATCTGGAAACACGTTATTCCCACGGTAAAAGACGTAACTCGGACCCCTTCGATCACTAAGTAGTGACGCTAACTCGCTGTATACTTCTGTAAACTAAATAACTAGGGTCTGATTGTGCATCGAGGACATAGGGCTCGATGTGACGGATTGTCATTGTTGGAAAAAGTTTATTCTTATGTATGAAATTACTAAGTACAGATGATAAACGACAAAAGCGTGATGCTACGTCAGCGTGCGGGCGGGGGGAGGCGGGCTCACAGGCAGAGGAGCAGACTCTTCTCTGGATCAGCTCGTTTGAGTCGAGGTGACGTCACCTCTATACAAGAGATGGCTCTAATCTCACAAGCTTTGATTGTTGTGTGGTGTATCATACACATTAATATCACACATGTGCATAGGATTGAGTGTGAAACATGAAGAAAAGCGTGATATAGGACCTTTAAGTCCTTTTAAATTTAGTGATGGATGCATGTTTGAGCATCCATCTTGTGACTTTTTGACTCTTTGGGCTGAGAGCTAATTGATAAAAAGCAATGAACAGGTTAATTTGTTTTCAGCAATTTGTTCCATCTTTTGCGAGTCGAAAACCCCTTCTCAATCGTGTTTATTTCCCCTTTAACTTTATTTTTATATAATTAAAGACAAGACAAAGTCATTTATTGACATATATTTGGTCCCTCTAACTCAGAAGACTTGTCAGACTGGTATCAGCACCAATCTTATCGGATCCTAAACTTTCGTAAAAGTTCTTTATTGGAACCTCCCTAAATGCAATGTGATCTACAAGGGATACACTGAAAAAATATACGTACCCTGAAGAGTGGCACGCTGATTATATAATTTAACTTTAATCGAGAAAAAAAACAAAACAATAACAATGATTGAAATACATCTCTGCCAGGGTATGAACACTTTTAGTAGAACTGTAACTTTTTGTTTTGTGAGATTTCACAGTTGTGTGCAAATGTGTGTGTTGTGTGTGTAGGACGGATGGATACTGCTTCAGCATGGTGGAGGAGGAGGGGGGGGTCCCGGTGCTCACCTCTGGATGTTTGGGAAAACTGGGCTCTGAGTTCCAGTGTCGGGTCAGTCTCACATACACCAGGACAAATATCACACAAGCACACACACACAGACAAACACACTTTCTTACAAGTCTGCAAAAGTTCACCATATACAAAACTTAAAATCATTAACTCTCTATTTTCTTTCAGGACATGAAAAACTCCTTAAATCATCTTAAATCTGTGGGCTGTTGTTCAAATGAGGATTTCTGCAACAGATACTTGTACCCCACTCTGGCCCCGCCCGACCCACCGCGTGAGTCCCAACACGGCTGCATTTCAATAATTTATTATGAATTTAGAATGAACAAAACAGAGAGCAGAGAGTACACACAGGTCCAGGACAACAAAAGCAAATCCTCAGATGTGCCTGGATCCTGATGTTTTTCTCTTTGAGTGATTGAATACATTTAAGCTGTCTTCAAACAAGATTCAAGTGGAGTTGCAATTTCATATTTCTCATTCTACGGTTGAAGTTTCTTCAAGATTAGATCTAGTTGGCAAATCATTTTTGGAACAATCAGCTCAATTCAAAATTGTTTTGCAGAAATCAAGCATGTCACTTTTTGCAGTGTAACCCAATTGATCTCCCATTGAATAGTGGACGGACACTGTTATGATTATTTATTATTGCACTCATGATTTTCAAATCTAAAAAGTCACGTTGAATAAAAGTAAAAATGTGATAAAATTCTCATGAAATGCAAAAGAAGTAATAAGCACTTATTCTATGAAGAAAGTTGAAATCCTTGGTCTAACAGTTTGCAGGCCTTTTATACACTTATTTCTTTCTGTTTGTCTGTGAGGTCTGATGGCTGGTACCGTTTCCCAGCAGGGCTAAGTCAATCCTATAATCATTGAGAAAGAAAAAGTAAATTGGGGCTATAGATTGCGTTCATGTGACATCACATTCCAAAGAGCCTAGAGTTTAAAGGCACACCGTGTAACTCTTGGCCACTAGGGGCGCTAGACCTGCAACTTTCACGTTTAGCGCCCCTAGTGGCCACAAGCAACTCAGCACTGTCGCAAAAGTCAACAAACAGTCAGCCGGTGTCTTTTGAGTGTGTATTCAGACAGCATGCACTGGTGTGTGTGTTCAAACTGTAGAGACATGCCTACAGATATTGAGAGACTCTGCTGTGGTCAGCCTCCAGACCGCTGCATTAGTAATCTACCACACATGGACTTCTATATCCTGGATGAGGGAGTTCTGCGTCTAGCTCGTGCTGCGTGGAATGACATCTTTGCAGTCGATGACATCCAGGAACCAGGTGAAGAGCAGCGCTCATACAGACATGCAGCTTACAGCACGATCCCTTTCGCGTTTCCTCTTTTTAGCCTCCTCCGAAGGTTTAAAATTTTTCCTTGCCTCAGCCATGACCAGGAGTCGAGCAGGTGAAAAATGAGTAGCAAAAGCCTTAGCTCCATGAGTATATCAGCGCCTGTAGCCGTAAAGCAAATCTTTCTTCCAAGTCACGTGACCTGGTGGCAGACGGTCCGTCTGCTCGAAACTTACATGGGCGGTATTTCAAGAGGGCAGCCCCGCTCGGAGCATTGCAAGTGTCAAGCGCTGTATATTGGCCCAAGTATTCATATAAAATAACTCATATGTGTCAACTCTTTAGGTCACAAAGTCCGCGGTGTGCCTTTAAGAAAGGGCAGCTGAAAAATGTTTCATTTATGGCAACTGTGAAAAGTCAGAGCACATTCCTAGGAAAATCCACATGAAACAAAAACATTGTCTTTGTGCGTACATTATAACTCTGCTCTAAACTTTCAGGTTAAAGTGACAGAAATCTTCAAAGACATAATACGATGTTGAGACAAGAGAATATTATGGGGTTTATGAATCTGATCCGGAAAAACGCTTTCATTTTTCATTTATAAAAAGAATCCCTACATATGCCCAACGGTGTTAAACTGTAATGGCTGCTGTATCTGCACATACAGGGATTGTTGAATTTGAAAGATAAAAAACATGTGCTTTTCGAATTCAACAATTGCACAAAGTGAGACTAGAGCTAAAAAAACATGTCTTTCCTCGAAATTGAGGATTATCAACATTTCATTTGCACAGAGTCAGGAGCAAACACTTAATTAATTCATGCACTTTACCAAACCTGTAAAATTATGTAGGTTTATCAATGTTCTAGACCTCAGCTAGTCACAAGTTATTGCAATTATAACAATCCAAGACTTTTATATTTTCTTAATTATGGACCAATGGCTCTATGTGTTTTGTAAAGTCCACCAAGATAACAACTGTTGTGATTTAGGGCTATACAAGAATAGATAAAGTTGAATTTAGAATGATTTTGTGGTAAATTTTTGAAGTGGAAGAACAAACAACTCTACATTCTCAGTTACCCAGGGTCTGTAACCCAATCATGTGCCCTGATGTTGGGGGGTGGGGGGGGGACCATCCATCCAACCAGCCTCACGCTCACCCAGGCCTGCAGGGAACGACTCCACTCTCTCACACTGAGTCACAAAAAATCCAGCAGTGAAATATCGTTTGCACCTGATTTACTGCCTTCTGTTCTTTCAAGTGTGTGCGAGGAGGACAGGAGAGCTGGATCTTTTACACCGGCGTCTGGGAGAGGCTTTCACACTCAGGGGAAAATATTTAAGTCTGTAGGCTATTGTGGACATAGACGAAGACAAACTGGGATTTCATCTGCTATACAATCTTTTTTGTTGTTGTTGCAGTTTTAATTAAAAAAAAGAACATAAATACGGACACAACAGACACAAAACAGACAGAAAAACCTGAAAGAAAAAGATTAGAAAGATACAAATAAATCAGCTATATTGTAGTGATTAAAGGGGACGTATCATGCAAAATCCCAATTCTTATTAACTGTGCTACAACATCAGTCACAGAGCTTAAGTTGTTTTTAGATCCATTCACACTAATATCAAGAACTTCAGGCACAAAAATATGACTCCTCCCCCTCTGTCTAAAGGTCCAGTATCAGTTCTGTGATAGTATGACGTCATGCGTGCGCATGCGCCCGTCGCTGTGTGGCAACAAGACAGAGCGACCCATACTGAAGCATGGATGCGACCACTACTTTTAAAGGAATAGTTCACCGTTTTTACATACTGACATATGTTCTTACCTTACCTTAGACTAGTTAATACGTACCTGTCTGGTCTTAGTCCGTGCGCTCTGTCATGCAAACGGAGCAAAAACGGGAGCACAAACGCAGCCTCCTCTGTATACTGTGTAGGACCAAAAGGTAGCTCCCGCTAGAAGCTACCAAACTCTTCCAAGTGTTCCCTATTAAATGTATATAGTTACGTGACGTGTTACACTGCAAAGTATAGTAACACAGAAATGTAACAGTCGATTTTCTCAGCGGATAAAACGGGTACTATATTGTGAGGCGTAGTAATCTGAGGAGCGCTGCGTCCGCGCACTAACTTCTCTCCGGAGACTTCTCTCTCGCTGCTACTGTGTGTACTACAAGTCACGCTGCTTCTATTGACGGAAGGGAACACTTGGAAGAGTTTGGTAGCTTCTAGCGGGAGCTACCTTTTGGTCCTACACAGTATACAGAGGAGGCTGCGTTTGTGCTCCCGTTTTTGCTCCGTTTGCATGACAGAGCGCACGGACTAAGACCAGACAGGTACGTATTAACTAGTCTAAGGTAAGGTAAGAACATATGTCAGTATGTAAAAACGGTGAACTATTCCTTTAAAAGACTCAGTGGGCGAATAGCACTGTATACAAGCACTATGCAAGAAGATCAGAGGAGATATAAAGACAAGCTAAAAATAAGTATATGAGACCGAACTGAACAAATTCAAAGCCCATATGAGACCTGGGATGACGAGAAGAAATATTGGTCAGACTCACCTCTGTCTTGGCACCGATCTGCTGGGACTGGGACTCGGAGACATTTATTCTTACTTCATAGAAAACCCGGGACCCTTCACTCAAGAAGGTTCCGTGGTGAAAAATCACTTCTCGCGTTTTTCACCGCGGTAAAGTGGTCTGGCTTTTTGCCAAAAAGGGTAACACGCTTTAAATGTACGAACTACTTTACCATGGCCGTTTTTCACTGTTCTAATCCGAAGGAATTTGAAAAATTTTATTTTTCCATTTTATTTAGAAAAACCTGTCTCCAAACGTCTAAAACAAGTTAACTCTCTCTAATCCAGGGAGCTTTCTTTGCTGTTTAGCCACCCGGTAACGTGGCGGGCGCGGAAAAACTATAAACAACAACGTCACTGCACAATGCTGCTGTATTTATGGTTGACAGAAAGTACATCAAATCTGTGAAAATGTAGATCTTTGGGGCAATGGTTTGACAAAACGTGAGTGTCAATGTCAATGTCAGATTGGTTCGCCCAGCACATTTACAACAACACCAGCTGCCCAAAGTGCTTCAAAGGGCACAAAGATAAAACATAAAAGCAAACAGCATAAAATACAGTGGTTGGTGGGAAATGAGAAGAATGAGATGCTCTGTCAGAATTACAAAATTATTGATAAATAAAAGATAAGATAAGAAAAAATTTGGCTACCTTGAAACAATATTATTTTATTTCAAGTGGAGTAGCAATTTATTCACTCATCTGCCGTATGTGTATATTCCCCAACAATAATTTGCTTTTAGAACTAAAATTTGACATTGTAAAAGCTGCTGTCATTGCTCCTATTGCTTTGTAACATATTCTTAAGTGTTTTTAAAAGTGCCGTAATTGTTAAGTAATATCACACATGCACAGGTGACACGGGCCTTGTCATAGATGCACATTTATATGTATTCAATGTGTGTTTGTCTGTGTGTGTCTGTGTGTGTGTCCAGTGTATGACGACAACATCCACTACTGGGCTTTACTGGTGTCCGTCTGCTTCGTCATTGTGGTCGCCGTTATCATCTGCTGCTTTATCAGGTGAGAAGGCCGCTAAAATTGTCCAGATTTTATGAAACAACAACAACAAAAATTTGTTTTCCTATATCGTAGTTTTTCATACCATCAAAAAAGTATTTTATTTGTGAGTCCCATCCCGTTCCAAAAGGATTGCATACAGATCAAATGTTATTAACTGTGGCCATGAGATGAACTGTGGTTTAAAACTACCAAAAATTAAAAAAGCAAAAAGCCCCAGGCCGAATACAGGAACAATATTAACAGTTTTTGATCTGAAACCTGATTTTTCCCAGAATGTGTTATTTGACTGAAAATTAGAGGGCCACAGCTTTATTTTGATCATTTGGATGTTTGATACCTTTTGGCTGACAACATTTTATAAAATAGTGTCACTTTTAAAGGCATCGTCAGACACTCTCCTTCTCTCTGTGCTGAATCTGAACTCTGTAAACTGGTGTGTTTGTGCAGATACAAGCGTCAGCAGTGGCGGCCGCGCTACAGCATGGGTCTGGAGCAGGACGAGGCCTTCATTCCTCCTGGAGAGTCTCTGAGCAAGCTGATAGAGCAGTCCCAAAGCTCAGGCTCAGGCTCTGGGCTCCCCCTGCTGGTAAGAGTGATGCATTACAACAGGCCAAACAGGCATGCACGAGACTCAAGCTTTAGTCATAATTACTTGCTCATATCATAAGAGAATAGAAGACATTTATTAGTCTTTATTTAGTCTTGTTTTAAGCACATTAATTGGATGTCAGTTACTTTACAAATTATTGAGAATAGAATAAATGTTTGATGATGATTATATTTATCTTACTTTTTTGAACCAGGTACAAGTTTATGTGTCTGTTACATTGATATATGTAAAAAAATAAGTATTGTGCAGGCTCAAATAATAAATAAATGAATTGAAAAAAAAAATACTATCCATGTTTGCGAGATCATTGCAAGTAGCCCCTGTAATTCCCCTGCATACCTCTAGGAGTCCACATGCTCGTCATTGGGAAACACTGATTTTCTCGCTCTAATTTCTAAAAGTTGAATAAAATAGTTCCTATAATGGAAGCACATGACCTGATGCTGATCACAAAGAGTTGCTTGGATTGTTCACAAATGTAACACATGTACTGTGCGTGTGTGCAGGTGCAGAGGACCATAGCCAAGCAGATCCACATGGTGAAGCAGATTGGCAAAGGGCGTTATGGCGAGGTGTGGATGGGCCAATGGAGGGGGGAGAAAGTGGCCGTCAAAGTCTTCTTCACCACAGAGGAGGCCAGCTGGTTCAGGGAGACCGAGATCTACCAGACTGTGCTCATGAGGCATCAGAACATCCTGGGTACGTGCTCATGAGGGTATAGAGCAAGCAGAGTCTATGTTTTCATGGCCATTACAACAGAATGAATGATAAAACAAAAGTAATGGATGGGTGACGCTATTTATCAAAAAACTGTGCTCTTTTTACATCCAAATTCCAACAGAAATGACCAAAAATGCTTCAGATATTCTATTAGTTCTGCAGACCCACTTTTTTGGTCCCATGTCCAAATGCCGTTTGAATGCGAGGCATGTTTTGTAGACTCACATTGAAAGGTGGGTTAAGAAGGCGTCATCAATGTACAATGTACTACATGGAGCCATAGCCCACACACTTTTTCAAACATTGATCTACGAGGACCACCCCGCATGGCCTCAGTCCCGTCCAACATGAGAAAATCAAACAACAGCAGTATTTCGATTATACGTTTACATATATAGATAGATAGATACTTCATAGATCCTCGTAGGAGAAATTCAGGTGTCCAGTAGCAGCAAAAATAAAACATAAAATTGATTATTCTAAAAGGCTAACAATAGTAATAATCAGCAACAGCCCTTCACAGCAGCAGAGGTGGAGTAGGCGCTGGGTGGAGCAGGACAGGTCACAAGGTGGAGTAGCCGCTTGGTTCGGACCATTTTCTCTACTCTAGTCCAAAGTAAAAAGCTAAATCCTCCAGTGGATTTTTGCCTGATTTGCTTGGTTTGGACCATAAATCCTTTCTGATCTGGTCTGGACCAGTGTAAAACCACACACATTCCCTATTCCTATTGGTGTAGAATACAACCCAATGTCTCCAGATTGTTGTTATGACTTAGCAGAATGGTACACGTTGCCAATATGATCAGAAAACATGACAGACCTGAAGAGTATTGTCTTAATTGGACAGTTCCCAATGGACATAACAAACATCTTTCTAATTTTCCAAGTTTCACCTGTGATATGTGTGTTTTTGTGTGCAGGCTACATCGCTGCTGACATCAAAGGGACGGGCTCGTGGACTCAGCTCTACCTGATCACAGATTACCACGAGAACGGTTCTCTGTACGACTACCTGAAGTCCACCACTCTGGACAGCGGGAGCATGCTGCGACTGGCCTACTCCTCCATCTCCGGACTGTGTCACCTTCACACAGAGATCTTCGGCATGCAGGGCAAACCGGCCATCGCCCACCGAGACCTCAAGAGCAAGAACATCCTGGTCAAGAGGAACGGCACCTGCTGCATCGCTGACCTGGGGCTGGCCGTCAAGTTCATCAGGTCAGCAGAGAGAGGATTTTGATCAGACCTGGGCAACAGTGCGGGCTGGGGGCTACATGCGGTCCGATTCAAGTTTTTATGAGGTCTCTTCCCAGCTGTCTTATCAAAAAACCCATGATGAATAAAATATCTTAATAATAATACAAAAAATGTATGACACACCTTACTTATGCAAACACATGCCAAAGTGCTACAGCAAGTTAAAAACACAATCAAAAGATCAGAATAAAAAGCTCTACAGAAAAATATACAATAAAAATTTATAAAAAATGAATGGGCTGCAAATCAGCGGTTGGTCTTCTTGAAGAGCCGTGTGTAGCTGATACTGAAAAAGTCCTGTCTCCAATGAAACAAAGCCGTGTGATTGGCTGACTGAGACGATAGGTGTTTGTGGACTGGAGGGACAGGATGTGGGCTGTAGAGTGAGGAGGTCTTTCAGGTATTCTGGAGCGTTTCCGTGTATGCAATGTAAAAAGGTTAACACAAACAACAATAGCCAAAGATGCTATAGATGAGCTATAAATAAACTTTACTAAAAGAGATAGAAAATGCAGATATTATTGTTCCATGTTTCTCGCTCGTCTTTTTTACATTTTTTTTTATTACCGAAGTAGCTCTCACAGAAAATAAAAATGTGGGTTTTTCCAGCAAATTAAAAGGAAAACCTGCTCAAATGAGTCCGGCCCTCCACAATATGACGATATCCCAGAGAAAATATTTTGGATCACCCCTGCTTTAGGTCACTTAGGTCTCTTTGAATGTTTCTTTATACAGCCCCTTCAAAAAAAAGTTAGATAGATTTAGCACACAATTCTTGCACTGGGGCAACCACAGGATGAGAGCCCTGCACTTGAGCCCTTGGCCCGAGGGCCCCGACGGCCCGACAGCCCGAGGGTCGGGCTTCGGGCCGATGACCGCATAATCAATCAATCAATCAATCAATCTTTATTTATAGGGCGCTTTTCCTGCACAGGGCAACACAAAGCGCCTCACAGTCCACACCACACAATGCACAAATCATCACCATTAAAATACAATTAAAAACACATATGTAATTAAAAAGCATTAAAATCACATAAGTAATTTAAAAACATAAAAATCACACAAGTAATTAAAAACAATAAAATAGTTAAAAACACAAAAAGTTACAACAATAAATAACAAGGTGTGTTAAAAAGATAAAATTCTCTAGTTGTATGCACGGGAAAAAAGAAAAGTCTTTAACATGGATTTGAACATTGACAGAGAGGCAGCCAGTCTCACATCCTCAGGAAGACCGTTCCAGACTCCAGCTGCATAAATCTGAAAAGCAGCCTCCCCCTGTCTAGTCCTGACTCTGGGCACTAACAGGAGTCCCGTCCCTGCGCTCCTCAGAGTCCGGGCTGGTTCATATGGGACTAGCATATCATGGATGTACTTTGGTGCAAGGCCATGGAGAGACTTGTACACCAGGAGAGCTGCTTTAAAGTCTATTCTCTGGGCCACGGGAAGCCAGTGCAGAGACCTGAGGACCGGACTAATGTGGTCGTACTTCCTGGTTCTAGTCAGGACTCGGGCTGCAGCATTTTGAATATACTGCAACTGTCTTACTGCATGTTTGGAGATACCTGTGAGCAGGCCATTGCAGTAATCCAGCCTACTGGAAACAAAAGAATGGATAAGAATCTCCAAGTCTGCCCTGGACACAATATTTTTAATTTTGGCAATATTTTTCAGATGATAAAAAGCTGCTGATGTTAGCGATCCAATGTGGCTATTGAAGTTTAAGTCAGAGTCCATTATTACTCCCAGATTTCTGACCTTATTTAAGGGCCTTAGGGAGAGAGACTGAAGGTGACAAATGACGGTCTCTCTTTGTTTCTCGGGACCAAAGACAATCATTTCGGTTTTGTCCGCATTTAGCTGGAGAAAATTGCATTGCATCCACTCACTGATCCGCTGGATACAGCGAAGGAGTGAGTCCACCGGCCCATGCTCTCCTGCAGTCAGTGAGACATAGATCTGAGTGTCATCAGCGTAATTGTGGTAGGACACTTTCATACTTTGAATTAACTGACCTAATGGCAGCATGTAAATATTGAACAGGAGAGGTCCCAGAATCGACCCCTGTGGCACTCCGCAGGTCAGGGCCATATTATCTGAGACATAGTTTCCAATCTCCACACAATACTTCCTTTCTTCTAGATAGGACCTAAACCAGCTTAGGGCGGTACCAGCAACACCAACCCAGTCCTCCAGTCTCTGCATGAGAATCTCATGGTCAACGGTGTCGAAAGCGGCACTCAGATCTAACATGACTAAAACAGACTTTTCCTGCATCAGTGTTAAGCCGAATATCATTTGTTACCTTGACTAGAGCTATTGACCTCGGACACGGGCCGGGCTCGGGCTCTTCATTTTCAGAGCGGCAGAATACATTTACGAACGCACCCACTGAATATAGCGTTCTATCACGCTGTAGTGTTTGTTGTTCTGTGTAGTGTTGTCATTGACAGCACATAGCGTTACTTACAGGTGTGTTGCAGCATCTGGGCATCATACAGATGCGGCCGTTCACTCTGCACCACTACGCACACACAGAACTCATTGCAACACATCACTACAATGCATAACTCCGCCCGCTAGCCAAGCCTGTGTTCATATCAGTGCGCAGCACTATATACTAAGCTAAAACATTGTTATGGGAGGTTACAAAAAAAATAAAAATAAATTCGGGCTTGATGCGAGTTTCGGGCCTGAAAATTCAAAAACCATATCGGGCCGGGCCGGGCTGGGGCGCCACCCCCTCGGGCCAGGGCCGGGCTCGGGCCCAGATAATAGGCCCGTGCAGGGCTCTACACAGGATGATCATGACCCCCTGGAGACACACAATTACCTGAATACACATACTTTCTATTTACACACAACAATGGAGTACAATTGAGCCTTCATGCATATGGGTGTGTCTGTGTGTGTCTTAACTGTGCCTTGCTTTTGTGCACAGTGACACAAATAAAGTGGACATCCCGGCAAACACACGAGTGGGCACAAAACGCTACATGCCCCCAGAGGTCCTGGAGGAATCACTCAACCGCAACCACTTCCAGTCCTTCATCATGACCGACATGTACAGCTATGGACTCATACTGTGGGAGATCGCACGCAGATGTGTGTCAGGAGGTGTGTACACACACACACACACTGATACTGCAGAAGATAACACATAGACCAATACAGTAGAGATAAATTAGATACGATTTTTTATTATCTATTTTTACACATGAACTTACATCTGGCCATACCTGCATGTGAAAGTGAGATCCCGTCAGACCTCTGAAGCAAAGCCTGGTTAGTACTGTGATGGGAGACCTCTGGGAACACAGGTGCCACAGTGGGGCGGCTGCGGCTGTAAAGACACTTCACCCACATTGCCCAGAAGGAATCTGGTGTGTGTGTGTGTGTGTGAATGGCTGGTGGTAGTCTGAAGGGCCGATGGCACACACTGGGTGCCTCACTTCAGTCAGTGTGCCCCAGGGCAGCAATGGCTACAGTAGTAGTTTATCGCCACCTTGTATGGGGTGAATGAATAATGGCATGTGAAGTGTATTTGAGTGTCCAAAAAAGTGCTATATAAAACCAATAGTTTCTTTATTATAAGTGAAAATATCCAATAATAAATACTCAATCTAGTGGTGGAAGTGACCCACATAGTAATGAGGGACTTATCAGGCTGTGGAGAGTTCCAGAAATGTCGTCAAAAAAACAAGATCCAGTGCCGATTGTCCAGATAATGAGGAACAGCCTCAGCAGGAACAAGTCAGTCAGAAGGAAAACTAAGAGAGAGCAAGTAACCAGACATGATCAGACACCTCCTCCACCACGACACAAAGTGCAGTTAGGGTTCATCTTACACTTGATAGAAAATAGTCTGGTGTGAAGTAAGTCTGATGTACACAGTTCAGGTGAATCTGTTGATGTTCTTGAATAACAGTGTTCCAAACAGTGTCTTAGTCCAAATCCACAAGAAAATGTTGATGCTTTCGAATCTAAATCAGTCTCTTCCATCTTGTCTCTATTGGCAATGGTGCATATGTCTGTTCCTAAATATGGCAACGCAATTTAGTTACAACCAAAGACCAAAGTGCAGGCCTGTTGCTGATACTTCGCTCAATGATATATACAGAAATATTTACAAATGAAACAAGTAGACTAGCTTCTGCGGCTGATCAAACTTTGTCTTGGGTGTATATGCATTTTAATCAGTCTAATTACATTGGATTTAAGTGGCTAAATACACTTGTTCTCAACACACCACTGAGAATCCTCGTGAATACCTGATTGGGAAGAGGGTGGATATTTATACCTGAGTTTCTTTATCTCTTACAGGTATTGTGGAGGAGTACCAGCTGCCATATTACGACCTGGTGCCCACAGACCCGTCCTATGAAGACATGAGAGAAGTGGTCTGCATCAAGAGATTACGACCGTCTTTCCCCAACCGCTGGACCAGTGACGAGGTGAGACATGCACTGGTGTTACTTTGGACTTTGGACCATACATGCCACCATAGATGCCTCAATGGATGCTACTATATACACCACAATATACGCAACCATATTTGCCACCGCCATAGACACTACTATAGATGCCACAATAGACACTACCATAGATGCCACAATAGACACTACCATAGATGCCACAATAGACACTACCATAGATGCCACAATAGACACTACCATAGATGCCACAATAGACACTACCATAGATGCCACAATAGACACTACCATAGATGCCACAATAGACACTACCATAGATGCCACAATAGACGCTACCATAGATGCCACAATAGACGCTACCATAGATGCCACAATAGACACTACCATAGACACTACCATAGATGCCACAATAGACACTACCATAGATGCCACAATAGACACTACCATAGATGCCACAATAGACACTACCATAGATGCTACAATAGACACTACCATAGATGCCACAATAGACACTACCATAGATGCCACAATAGACACTACCATAGATGCCACAATAGACGCTACCATAGATGCCACAATAGACACTACCATAGATGCCACAATAGACACTACCATAGACACTACCATAGATGCCACAATAGACACTACCATAGATGCCACCATAGATGCCACAATAGACACTACCATAGATGCCTCAATGGATGCTACTATATACACCACAATATACGCAACCATATTTGCCACCGCCATAGACACTACTATAGATGCCACAATAGACACTAGCATAGATGCCACAATAGACACTACCATAGATGCCACAATAGACACTACCATAGATGCCACAATAGACACTACCATAGATGCCACAATAGACACTACCATAGATGCCACAATAGACACTACCATAGATGCCACAATAGACACTACCATAGATGCCACAATAGACACTACCATAGATGCCACAATAGACGCTACCATAGATGCCACAATAGACGCTACCATAGATGCCACAATAGACACTACCATAGACACTACCATAGATGCCACAATAGACACTACCATAGATGCCACAATAGACACTACCATAGATGCCACAATAGACACTACCATAGATGCCACAATAGACACTACCATAGATGCCACAATAGACACTACCATAGATGCCACAATAGACGCTACCATAGATGCCACAATAGACGCTACCATAGATGCCACAATAGACACTACCATAGATGCCACAATAGACGCTACCATAGATGCCACAATAGACACTACCATAGATGCCACAATAGACACTACCATAGACACTACCATAGATGCCACAATAGACACTACCATAGATGCCACCATAGATGCCACAATAGACACTACCATAGATGCCACAATTTAATTCCCCTACGTTGTTAATGCGCTTGTGCGATTCCGCTGAAAACTCAAAAGAGGTTTTGGGCTTGTTGAAAGTTGGCATATTTGGAACTTTCTTAGTCCTAACTTGCGACAAGAAGTCAGGCCGCCTTCTTATTGCCGTTATTGGACAGCCATCTACCCCCACTGGATTTCACATATCTGTCTCTTCTTTCCTTATCCTTATCATAATTTTTTCATGTAATTATCTTCGTTTTTGCTGTATATCAGTTAGAATAACCAGTTTTAGGTAAAGCGAGTAAAGGTAAAAACCAAGATTGTACATGATATGAGTAATTACACTTCCAGAACTAGAAGCCGTCAAATTGACTGCTGTGGGAGTTCTAGTGTTTAGGTGAAACAGTTTTATTGTAGTCATTCTAATGCAGTATCTTTGTGTCCACAGTGTCTGAGGCAGATCAGTAAACTGATGAGTGAATGTTGGGCCCATAACCCCGCCTCCAGACTCACCGCTCTGAGGGTCAAAAAGACTTTGGCCAAAATGTCAGAATCTCAGGATATCAAGTATGAGACGTTCACGGACCTCATCCACGTGTGAGGCTCCGGGGGGTTTGGGAAGTGGAGGAGGTCACGACTGTGGGACAATTACTCTGAACACTCGACGACTGCTGCATCACGGATGTTTCATCATCAAAGTATCGATACTGTATCCTCAAATGTGTGTGTTCCTGGTACTGTACGGACTCGTTTTTTCATTGCTTTTGGTCAAAGACGCTTCGCTTCACTTGGACCCATCTGTTTCAACTGTTTAAGTATTTTCAAAACCTTACTTCGTACATGTATATTTCTAAACACCGGTGTCCTCTATTGCAAAGTATCAACCATAAAGTACCAGTGTCAATACCTTAAAGCTGGAGTAGCTACAGTTGAAACCACACTGCCATCAAATTGGAATTTATTGAATCAACATTAAACACGTACATTTAAAACAAAACAAAATAAATGTAACTTCACAATAGTTTGGTTCTATCACTAGTTTCCATTTGCATGTATTTTCGGACTCTTGGCCAATCAGCTCTCAGTATGTAAAAGATATACAAAAACTGCAAACAAGACTATTTCTTTTACATTTACATTAACATGAACACAAGAAGAACAAACCAAAAACATAAAATCAACAAAAGTTCATAGAACATACTGTACTAGCCTGGCCATAGCCATCCGTATACTCCACTCAATCATCATTTCCCTGCACATGTAACGTCTGGGTATGGTCCATAGACTGTAAATATTAACGGATATAGTCACGCCTATCTCCGCCGTTCAAATTAATGGGCCAAAAAATGTGCTCTACTGGAGCTATCCAAAATGGCCGCGAGTGGTCCCGCCCACAAGAAAATTGTGAAAAAACGCATTTGCGCATGCGTCAGCCGGCACAAGCTCCATTCATTTGAACGAGAGACTTCAAAAATTCACAGCGAGTAAACTAGAGTGGTCCAAAAAAATCCACCCCCCTCAGCATTGACACACATGTGGAACGGAGCTTTGGGCCAAGAGCCAACTTTTGGACCATCCTGTAAAGACGTTTTCGAGAGGTAAGAAGATGCTATACGTTTGCATTGGCTAATTCTTATTCCGGGTCCACCCCCATCGGCCTGGGTTGGTATTGCAAGCATGTCAGCGCACGTCATTTTGGCCACTTTTGAGCCGGGACCCGCCCCCACTGGTCTGGTCCCTGTGTTTGCGAATAGAATCGGTTGAATTCCCCCCACCAATCAGCAAGTGCGGGAGGCGGGTGTTGTAGTTAGATGTGGGTGACGTCAAGAGTTTGCGCCGAACGAGCAGGTTGTAGTTTGCTAATGGGGAAGAATGCAATAGTAAAGTAATCCGGTCTGGTTCTATCAAGAAATTGAAGATGGAGCAAGAGGAATGTTTAGCAAATGTAATAGCTGAAAAAGATTCTGGCACTACTCCCCTCGGGCTCTGTTAGCGGCTAAGGAGATGGCTAGGCTAAATGCTAAATGCTAACGACTCACTCGGGCACATTACAGTACATACGTCACTGCAAACTCAGATCCATTTGTTTCCATCTGCAAAAGGAGTTAACCCCTCCTATCTGTAAACGGAGCACATTGGAGCAAATCCAGACCTTAGTACGAAATGTATTTTGTACTATGGTGTGGTACAACCAAGCTGAGAACATATATGACTAGACAAAAAAAACAAAAACCAACATACACACAAAAAACCCAACCATGACAACACAAGACTATTTCTTTCTTGGGACAAACCAAATCTATCTGTGAAACAAAAAGATGGATACTCCAGCTTTAAGAGACATCGAAATCTGTCATATTTCTTGAATTACAAATTTTCTTCATTGATTTGAGCAGATTTCAACCATTTTTGTATCCACTTAAACCTCACCTGAAACTATATCTTGCCTCCTCTTGGCAGGTTTACTTGACTGGTCTAATGTACTCAGAGCTGGAAAGTGACCACGTAAGAAGTCGTTTGAACTCAATGTCGTCTTGTGCAGTGTAGGACTTTATCGACCCCTCGGCTCTATACTCTGTAGAGGTGAATTATTGTGTGAACAGTGGCCTCAGGTGTGAATGAGGCGTTCACTGACCGTAGGACACATGTGTTCTGTCAGACCCTCCAGGACTGACCCCAGTGCGACGCAAAAACACATCTATAGGAGTTTACAGGAGTGACGGCAACTCAAATACTAGTGTTTTAGTCAGAGGTGGCAAGTAACTAAGTATTCAACTTAAGTACGTGTAATTAACTTTTAAATTTTACTCCTCACAAGTAAAAATACCTTCTACAGAAAAAATGTTTTTTTTACATTGTCAACATTGTTGTGTTTAGCTCTCTGTGATCAGCCATCTTTTGGCTTTATTCCTTGACTGTGGTTCACCCTGGTTCTATGATAGTTTATTGAGGTTTACTATGCTTCTAAGTTAATACATTCACTGTGGTTAGCCAGGCTCCTAAGGTAATTCTAAGTTCAAATAACAGTTTTGTCAGTTTGAAACACAACCCGTTTGTCAATTATTTACCAAAAATGCATTTTCCTTTTTTGTATCCAGCTCTCTAAACTAGTGCTGCCACCTCTGGTCACATGGTGTGATGAGATTGGGGCTGAAGTCTGGGGAAAGAGAACAATGTTGTAACCGTTTAAAGAGCGACAGAAAAGGTGACTCTGGAAGACGTGTTTTTGCTTCGCATACGACTCTTTGTGTCGTTGTGTTTGGTGAATAGAAATGAAGTGCTTTCTGTGAAAGCATCTGTAAACACTGGTCCTAATGGCTCTTCAGATCTGACGCTGTGTGACAGACACTGGTGCCAGACTTTACACTGAACAAACACCAATGTTATTATTATTCTGTCGACCTGTTTTGGACAATGTGTTAAGTTTAATGTTAATGTATATACAAAAATAAAGTTGATATCTGTAAAGCCTGTCTGTGCGTCTTGATGATTGGGGGAATAGATAAAATATAATCTCCAGCCCCAAACAGAGTACTGTAATTTCTGGACTATAAACTGCTAATTATTGATAGTACTTTGAACCCTGAGTCTTCTTGTGTTAGAGTTGTCCAAAGTTTATGGACTTATTATTTTGACTCCATCAAGTTTAAGCAGCTATAGGACACTTGTTTATTGTCAAAATAGATGAAGGTGAAGGAGTGATGGACACTAACGGTTTCTAACTAAGCTGTTAGAAACCTTGTCATAAATCATTTGTTGTCTATCTGCTACATTACAACATGAAAACATGCAGCTTACATTCAAGTACGGCCTGTATGGGGACAAACTTGATTTTCTTTTCAAATGTAGATGGTGCAGCTTATATACAGGTGCACCTTCGAGTCCAGAAAGTATGCAGTACTCAATATATAATACTAGTAGTAGAAGTAGTAGTAGAGTATTTAGATGCAGGCTTCCTAGTGCAAAGGAACAGCTGATAATTTAACAGCACTGTACAAAGAAAACACACTGAATTAATGCGATAGAAAAAAAGACAACATTGAGTCCATTTGATCATTGCTTATAAATATAATTTATTAATCCGCATAAAAATTCTTTCTTACACTTTGTACAGAAAACATTGAGAGGACGAAATGACAGAAAGTAGATCCGTACGGCGCGCCACATCACGCCTGAGCGAAGGACGCACTCACGGTTTGCATAGTCGACGCATTCACAAAAACATACACAGACCTGTTACTACTGTACATCGCATAGAGCAGCAGTTTAACCAATCAAAACCCACCGTGCCAAAACTCACCACAAGCAGGTTATCACGCCAAACTGGGGAAAGTAGAAAATGAGTTCAAGGTGCACAAAAGGTGGAACTATTTTTCTAAAAATGACAAATTTTGCTTAACATTTCCCAAATATTCACTTTTTGCAATTTATGCCATATGTCACATACGCAAATACATCTGACTCTGTATTATTTCAAAGCAGAATTAAAATTCCCACTACTAATTATTGGTGTATTATCTATATATTTCACTTTCGAAAACATGAAATGCCCAAAGTAAAAATCACGTTAAAGGGCCAACATGACACATACACAAATAATACATATTTCTTCTTTAATAGTCAAGTTTGTTAACATTTAAAACCGGGGTACCTAACTTTCAAACCACAAAAATAGAATTATAAAATCCATCCAGTTTGGTTCGATCACTAGCTTTTACATGCATGTATTTTTGGAGTCTGTCAGAACTTTAGAAAAGTTGTTGTTTTTTTTTTGACAGAAAAGTGAAAAAGAGAGACACAGGCTCACTCAGCCAATCAGCTCTCAGCCCAAAGGGTCAAATAGTGACTCACATGGATGTTTCTCATGAGGTTTCTAAAGAGATGAAGACGGTCTGATTTGTTCGTAGATGTTGCTTTTCCTAAACTCTTTCTGTTCGGCCAAACAAAAAGTATTATTCATGAAAAAGTGAGGTACCCCTTGCTTTAAACAGGTGGCAAACTCTCCCCCAGTTCATACTGTAGTATACCATATATTTTTTTTTAAACACCATTCTTCGTATAAAATGTATTGTTACTATGACAACGTTCATAAACAACTTTGCACAATAAACGTTGGCCAATTTCATGACACAGTACATTTTTGCTTGGTTTTTGTTCATAAGGCGTTCACGAAAGCTCAAAAATGACAATAAAAATGCTATACAATGACAAATTATACAGCTGACCAGTTTCCTCTTAGTACAATCTGTCTGCATACCTGATGTGGGAATTCATATGGCCATAAAACGATTTAATCTTTACTAAACTTCCCTGTTCTGCCAAAAAATAATGCACTTTTTTTTTTTTTTTCACGCTATGATAAAAAAAATCTATCTTACACTAGTTCTTCTCAAAACTGCTGGAATGAGGTGTGCATATCAAGAGAAATATGAATAATGAAAATATAGGGTTAAAATATATTGTAAATGCTATTGATTGACAAGGCCACTAGGGGGCACTACAGACTATGCAAAGATAAGGACAGGAGAAAATGGGTTTGTATCTGATCCAAGATTTTTGATTTATTTTGGAACGATTTGAGAATGTGATTGACAATGTACTCTTAATAGTAATAAAATCACTCTTAATTAAATCAATAGTTTTAATATTCTCTAGTTTTGACCATATTTTTAAGTCTTGCACTGCAAAAAGACACCAGTTAGTCCCACCCCCACAGACTCCTGATTGGACACAATTAATTAAAATCCTTGATAGACAGCTGAGGGCCTTCATCATTGGTCTAAATATTCTCTTCCAGCAAATATTACTGGTGATGGTTATGCCAAGGGGAGGGGCTATTTAAAAGATACATGTATTTGTTTTGAAAAGTACTTCATGGTTATGTGGTCAGAAATATGTAATCCCTTTTAGTAAGTTAAGAAGCTGTTTTGTCTGGAATGTTCCACAGTATGGCATTAAACTGGCACAAAGTCACATCTATGAATAATATGTATATTTGTTTTTTCATCTTTTTGTGACGTCTTTTTTATCTGGATCTAGTGTCTGTAAAAATGATTAATAATAAGTTCCAGGTCTCATTGTGGAGAGGCATCGTACTAAAAAACACATGTGGTTAAACATTTGAAACGCTTAATGCCATATTGAGGTGTGTTTGAGCAAAGTAATGACCACAGCAAAAGAATGATGCAATTATAGAAATAACAAACTACCAATTAAAGCTGGGGCACCTATAATCTTAAAACCACAAGTTAAAGGTGAAGTAATAAAATCTATCCAACCAGTTCCTCGCTCTCAAAACAGTTTGATTCTATCACTAGTTCCACATGCGTGTTATTTTTGGCCTCCCTCAAACTTTTCCAGACAAACAAATTAAACAGTGCAGACCACCCTCCCTCAGCCAATCAGCTTTCAGCCTAAAGCATCAATTATTGACTCATAGGGCTCTTTCTTACAGGTATGCAACATATATTGTGTTTTCTAATAAGATAAAGGCAGATAGTTTCATGAATAACATGTTTTTTGTCCAAACAGAAACAAAGAGTTAGGTACCCCAGCTTTAAGCGATACGTTTTGATATTGTTTTTGTGTGATTAAAAAACAAGCACATTACCACTATCTCAGATGCATGTTTTGCAGTGCATACACTATTTCACTAAAACAAAGCATTTCTTTAATACTTTTAAGTATTCAAACCAGTGTGATATCTAAGGTCACGTACACAAATAGTCAGATAAAAAATATTTTTATGCAATTTGATTTTAAGCCTGACCGATGTCCAATGTTTTGGATTTTTTTGTATGGGAAAAGAGGATTAGAACATGGCAAAAATGTGAAAAAAAAAGAGATGTAGTTTAAACACATCTTTAAATTGACCTGTTCATATTTCCCTCCAGGCCCTTTCCCTTTTTTCCAGTAAAAATCACACGTTATAAAAACAGTTCTTTAGGCTTGACACTTCCTGATTTGTGTCTTGACATCAACATCCCTGCGTCGCCGTATAGTTTCTATCGTAAGTAATAGTTCTGTAGAGTTTGCTAACAATGGTCCATCATCACGGTGACGCCTGTCTCAGTGTTCCAACGCTGTGGCACCCAGGCCGTTGTCGTGGCGACCCATGTCCTCCAGCACGGCAGCCAGCTCACTCAGGGCACCCTCCGGGAAGTGCAGTGCCTCCCACAGGTCCAGGATCACACCGGTCGGACTGGACTGCGCCGCAAAGTACTTCAGGTATCTGCGGAAAGAAAGGCTGTGTAAAGCAGGATGCAGGAGGGTCTAAGGCAGGGGTGATGATCCAGGACATTTAGATTCAGATTCAGTTTGTCTGCCATTTGCAGTAAAACCACATTGGAATACATGTGAAAAAGTATTCTCCCAGTGTGCATCAGACATGCACAAAAAAAAAACAAGCTAAAAAACACACAATTTGCACTCGCTGTCAATAAATGTCAATAACTGTGTGTGAATAAACCATAAGCAATAAAATATCCATCCATCCGCTTTCTTCTGCTTCATCTGTTGCCGGGTTGCAAGGACAGCAGCGTAATCACAGATGCCAAGGCTTCCCTTTTCCACACACACTGGGTTTCATATGACGTCAGGGCAGTGGCGCAAATAACAAAAGTAGGACAGGACTTAACGTACCCTGGCGGTGCAGTGTGCTGGGTATATACACAGAGATATATAGAAGAAGAAGCGCTGTCAAAATGCCATTTTTGTGTGCAGTGTACGGTTGTAGCAACCGCGCAAATAGAGAGAAAGGCAAGAGTTTCTTCCGTGTTCCAACTGTGGGCTCATATAAAGGAGTACACTTTGAAAAGATCACTGGAATGAGGCGGTGAGGTGGATCAAGGCTTTCCCAGATAAGCGCCCCCTGCAGGCAACCCGAATGAAACGCAGAAATATCTTCTGTTTTTCTTTCCAAAAAGGCCCAAAATCAAGACTCTACTGAGAAATATTTTTCAGTACTTAGTGTCCCCCTCCCGATTAAGACTGTTACAACAACCGTTGTGTTTCGAACGCAGTGTTTCGAACATAGAAGCCTCTGCTTCAGGAAGAGCGACACACGCTCCGGAACGTCTGAAATATTTGTCCATCACTACTTAAAACGTAATGTGAGAAACTATGTATTACCGTGAATTCAGAAAGTAACTGTATTCTAAATACTAGACGTTAAAGTAGTAACTGTAATGGAATACAGTTAAGCCTAGTGTAGGGATGTAAAAAACTATGCATTTTCATGACCGACCACCGAGTCTCATTAACCGGTTGAAACCGGTTAACCGCGTAGTTTAAAATAGTCCACGTTCTTTGAAATAACAGCCATTTCGAGCCGCGTACTTTTCATAAGTGCAGCTCTGCGTTCTACTGGATCAGAGTTGAGACAGCGGCGCCAAAACCCACAACAGCTCCGGCACCTTTGCGCACAGAGAACTGCTTTTTTAATCTTCCCATTCTGCTGTGCTGCGGGTTAATACCAGAACTTTCTAGCAGCAAACGACGGCTCGTTCACATGGTCAGATCAGCGAGTGATGAGCCGCGTCTCACAGGTCTTCACAAAAGTTTAAATACAAGTGATGTGTGTGGAGCTGATCCCGAGGACCATAAACACAAACATGTTCCATGTGGTTTGACTGGAGCCGCGTATTTGCGCGAATCCTTTGGGCTCCGTGACACAGAGGAGCGCGACAGACCGGTATGTGTGTGTGTATGTGTGTGTGTGTGTGTGTGTGTGTGTGTGTGTGTGTGTATGTGTATGTATATGTGTGTGTGTGTAAATGTAAGCTCCAATGTAGTTCTGACCCGCGCCAGTGTGCAACTTTGACGGTAACAGAGGGGAGAGATGATGCGTGTGGATGTTACGTATGGAGAGGGGGAACGTGTGTGTGCGTGTGTGTGTGTGTGCGTGTGTGTGTGTGTGCATGCACGCATGCGTGTGTGCATATGTGGCTCGTGCGGCGTGAGAGTCGTCCCGGAGTTTATAATACATGGGCGCACACAGCTAGATATGGACCCGCTCGTCACACCGTGCAAATAGGGCTTAAAATAGCGTTATTAAGAGACCTCCCCTCACCCCTTTTTCTCTTTTTTTAACCGACAGCTTTGACCGGTTAACGCTGTGACGGTCAACCACCGGTTAAACGGTCGCCGATTTACATCCCTAGCCTAGTGTAAAGTGCACATATAGTGGTAATATAGAAAAGGTAAGATAAAAGATACAGGGGTCTCTGGTTCTCTGGTTCCATCTGCAAATAGACACGTGTGTGTCAGCCTTGGACTAGAAATGTGTGAATGTAAGTGACTCACTGTTCTAGGCAAGGCAAGGCAAGTTTATTTGTATAGCACAATTCATACACAAGGCAACTCAAACTTCTGATTATTATTTTAACTAAAATAATAAGTTTCATACTGTCTGTAATTGTCTTATTGTACATTTATATGATGACTTGTACAAAATAAATGTAATGTATGTACATATTTGATACACTGACCACTGGAGGAGTAGCAGGTGCACAAAGCTAATTATTCACCCTTTAAGCGCCAGACGTTTTTTGCTAAAACGCTCAATTTTGACAAAAGGCTATAACTTAAGTTTGTTTTTTTATAGCCCAGTGTCCAACTTAAGGTGCACAGACATGTTGACAAATATCAACTCTGTGCCCTTATGTTACAACACCGGCAAAAAAAATTTAGAAAAAAATTCTTCCAGCGTGAATGCAGTTGAGTTATGGTGACAACCCTAGACTGCAACAAATATTTGTCGCGTAACATACGTCACTATGCTGCTCTGATTGGTTGTTGGACTATTCAATAGAGTGAAGAGTCATAATGTTTAGTTGGAACATGCCTCATAATCACAGGACATATGGAGCGGTCTCAGACCCACATTCTGACCAGAATCACAAGGAGGACAAATTCAGGCTAAGAATATATATGATGTACATGTAAATATAGACGTAAACCACAAGATTTTCACTCATAATTTTACTCTGTGAAACTCACGTTTGAGAACGCTGACCTATGGAATATATTTTAAAAAGTAGAAGAAGTTTAAAGAAATATAAATTGAAACATGATTACATCCAAAATAACATACTTAGTGGTGGACCCTCAAGGCCAAAAAGTACTTCCATTGTCTATACTCTTCATTTCAAAGTCTTCTTAAGTTTGTTGAGCAGCTTCCAGCCCCATGTTGAGATTTGGCTTGGAGGGCTGGTGTTTATGTTTATATACAATCATTATTCAGCATCATGTGTTGCCAGGGTCAAAAACATGCGTTTAGAAGCAACGGTCTGCACAGTCTCCTGAGACATTAACTGAGACAAACCTTTCAATTGGAGGGACCACAGCAATGGAAGAGGACTCCTTTAAGAATAATATTACCACATTTATTCACAAGGATGAGTCTGTTGAGGAGGATCTTCCATCAATGAGCTAAGAAGAGTGGCAAACTCCAACCAGGGTTGCAGGTCTATTAGAAATCCTAGAGGAGGATTTTAACGTCCTGACAAATCCCCATAAAGAAAACACGAAACCCCCCTTCATTTTGAAGCGGTGTCCACACCCAGTGCGGAGAACACGTGTCCTACTTTCAATACCGCTCCAAAGATGGTGATTAAAATACAACAGTCTCAAAGAATATTACCAGTCAATAGAAATAATAATAATAATAATAATAATAATAATAATAATAATGCATCGGTTTTATATAGCGCTTTATATAGATGCTTTACATGTCAGTATTCATACACTCCATACCCGGTGGTGATAAACTACTACCGTAGCCACAGCTGCCCTGGGGGGAGGCAATCAGTATGTGTCCTTGTCCCCTCCGATCACCACCAACCATTCACATACACACCAGACTCATTCTAGGTAATGGGGGTGAAGTGTCTTATCTAAGGATACAATGGCAGTTTGGCACTTTACAGCCGCAGCCGCCCCACTGTGGCATCAGGTGTTCCCAGAGGTTAAGTGTCTTGCCAAGGACACAACGACAGCAGACATCAGTGTGATTCGGTGGAGAAAGTCTTCAGGCTCTACCAACTGAGCTACTGTCGCCCCAGAACAAGCAAGCGCGCGCAGACCTTAAGAAGCTAGATGAGTCCATTATAAAGCATCTGTATGAGTCTTACGAAGCAGGGCGAGGGAGAGGGATAAGAAAGTACTGTGAGACTCAGACAAAACTTCCAGAAAACAAATGCCTCGTGCCCAGCATACACTGCAGAGAAGGCGAAAATCTCAGCTCAACCAGTCAGTCACAAGTGAGGTGGAATGTTGAACAAAAGCACCATAAAGGCACTTGCACATGCTGTGCACAAAGACCTGTGCTATGGGAGAGGCAAGAGCTCTGTGCGCATGGCCGCCCAAAATGACCCCAGCTACAAGTTGGAAATCCTAGAGTGCATCCGCAGATAAGTGGAGAACCCACCGGAGAGGAGGACTCTGGGCTCCATCCGTAGGTCTGTTTGCAGAGGCTTCTGCTGCTAGTCAATTTGGAACTGCATATTAGTAATATGTCCTTTATATGATTAATATTAGGGACGTGCACAGACATTTGCAGAGGCAGGTGATCATTTTAATTTAGTGCTGACATTTATATGCCGTTAAACACATGTAATTTATACCTCACATGCACTAATACGTGTTTCTCAACATGTGCATCCCTCCTGCCCACACACCTGTAGTCACTGCAGTCATGACGCCACCAACATATCCATCATCTTTGAAATTTTGCCTTTGGGATGAAAGATTTGCATACGGAGAAAGGAAAGCAGATGTCAAAGTTAGAAGACTGTGAAGTCTGTGATCCAGGGTTTTGGCAAATACTCTGACATATTAAAATTCTTCTCTAGTGCATGTTTCCTCACTAGTGCCGTGAGGCAACGATAGATTAGTGGAGCCCACCCATTTTTGGTCGTGGCTCTGGCCCTCCTGGTTTGATGATGCTTCCATATTAAAACATGCCGCTTGTTCTTGTGGCAGTAGTTAGCCAGCACCGAACATACGTTTTGTGCTGTTTGGATGTGATTTGTTTATTATAATTATATCATTTAAAATGTGATTTGCCCATTAAAAAATATTGACTAGAACAAAAAGGCCTCAGCCTACCGCTGGCGTTGCCATTGGCCTACATTACCTCTGCTGCTGTGACCTAGTGCTGCTGCATTTTATATCTATTGTTAGTTACTTTTAAATGTATTTATTATTTGTTTTGTTTGGATGGATGGATGT